TCGAATAAACTTCCAAAAGAGAAACATCTAGGAGAAAGGAAGGGGTGGATCATACCTCAGTCATGGCTGAAAATCGCAGAAGTTACTGAAGCAAGATTGATAGTACTATAAATCTTTAATTTTCAAGAAAACAGCAGATTTAAAGCGTTCTGGAGGGTCAATTGATGGAAAGACTCCGACATTCAAATTTAACGGGCTTTTCTGGCAGAAACCCTAGCGCAATATTCCCTCCCGGAATTTACCCCTTCGTTTCTATCTTTCTTTGTCAACTAGTCAGACGCACAGGTCAAGCCAAGGACACGATTTTAGTCAATAAGTTGTTATCAGGAAAAAAAAATGAATGAGGAGAACGAGAACGTTTTCTATTAAAGCTAGCACCCCTTTTTCTTCTTATGAGCTTTCTTTTCTCACGACCGATAAATACTTCTCTTCCTCCAGATGCTAATAAACGTAAATTACAACCCCTCTTACTTATCCCTCATTTCTTTTGGCCGAACCTTCTTTTCCTTCTCTCAATTACTAACTGGAGCATTGGAGACCGAGATATCTCCCCTTTGCTTCTTTGTAGTCGTGACTTGTTAGTGCAGCGCCTGACCCACTTATTTGATGAACCGGCTCAGCAGATCCGTGCTAGCACAATTTAGTGCTAAGATAGAGATAGATCAAGTAATTTTTGCTTAAAGTGACAGTTTCGTGATTTTGATTCTTTGATTCGAGTGCTGGAGTTCAGCACATAATAGAGTGTGATTTGGACAAAAGCATATATTTTTGGAGATCTTAAAATATTCTTAAAAAGAACAGGGCAGTGTTAATAACATTCTTAAAATTGTTATTCACACTCATCTCTCTGAATTTTTACCTATAAATGATAAACTTTGAAGTAGGGACGTAAATAAGTCAAGCTCAATTGAGTAATTTATGAGTTTGCTCGATCGAAACTCGAATTTGAACTTGCATTGACCAAATTCAAACTTAAATTTGAACAACTCGAATTGCTTGATGAATGATGAGTTTGAGTTCAAATCTAATATGTGAACCTCAAAAGCTCGTCGAATTTAATGAAACTCAATTAAGTTTCATATACACACGTATGCTATTTATTAGTATTAAAGAGCCGACTTTAAAGAGCTTGATAAACTTTGAGTTCAAGTTTAAATTCAAATTTTTTTTTTAACTCGAGTTCGACTCAATTTGACTTTGTCCTTATTTTGAAGAGAAAGAGAGTGATGAAATGAGTGCGAATAAAACAATATGCTTTACTATTTGAATTGTATTGTGTTGTTTTTGACATAATTAAAGTCATAATGGGTAATTTTCTGAGGCCTAGTTTAGGAGTCAGGAGAAGAGAAGAAAGGGATACAAAACTTGATTTAGAAATGGCAAGAACACGTTACAAGATTATGTGGAAAAGAAATTAGTGTCAAAAAAATTGTAACACTTTTGTGATTTGTGTATGTATATATAGAATAGTGATTAAAAAATAATTAAAAGACAAATTCATAATGCAACGAGAAATTTTTTTTTTTTTTTAAATGATCAATCCAAGCAGACACTTTTGAAGCATGAGTGGGGGAAAAAAAAACTTTCTTAGATTTTGTGTTTTACCCATCTACCTTTAAATTCTAGATTGTGGAGGTATATTATTATGATGAACAATTCAAGTCTTTTTAATGCAGCTAAATTCACTTTCTTTCTATTTTTCTCCGGTTCTCTCCAGTTTTATTGGACAGACAATTCAGCACTTGAAGGTTAAGAAGTCTATGTCGAAAAAAAAAAAAAAAAAAGGTTAAGAAGTCCCAAAGAACGGAAAAGCCTCCTTTCCATTTTCACAGTACCTTTCTGTTCTCCTCTCTTTTCTCCTTCTTCCAATCCAAACTGGCTTAGCCTTAATGTGTTAAAGGGCTACTAAAAAACCTGTTAATGTGTGTTGAAGTACTAGAAAAAAAACTGCAATTGGCGGAAAGCAGTAAATCCATCATCAAAAATCAGATGAAAACGTTGCGGGTCAGCGCCAGTGGGTTGGTTTACCCCCTTCACCACCTCCGCCGCCGCCTCCGCCGTATCCCTTGATCCCCTACTACATATCACCTCGCAAAGCCCAAAACTTCCGTCTCCATCAAGTTTCTCTTTTCCAACGGAAAAGCACGAAAGGCACACCTACCCCGAAAATGGATCAATCCTTCATGCTGATGCTATCCAACCTACTACACCTCCACAACCACCTGGACCCTACCACCTCCCTCCTCTCCGACCTAACTTCCTCCACCTCCTCCTCCGCCTCTTCCTCCGACGCCACCTCCCCCACCTCCCTCCTCACCTCAACCTCCGCCGCTCCTCTTCTCTTCTTCACCATAGCCTCCGTCCTCTCCTACCTCGCCTCCCAACCCCCTTCCAAACCCTCCAACAGAAATACTAAAACCCCCAAATCCGCCACCTCTAATAAACCCCCCTCCTCCTCCTCCCCCTCCACCGCCAACGCCGAATTCTCCGTCTCCGCATTCCGGGCCCTCTCCACCGAACACATCTGGGCCATGGAAGCCCCTCTCCGCGACGCCCAATGGAGATCTCTTTACGGGCTTTCTTATCCCGTCTTCACCACCGTCGTGGACAAGCTTAAACCCTATATCACTCAGTCCCAGCTCTCTCTCCCTTCTGACTACGCCGTCGCCATGGTTCTCTCCAGACTCTCCCATGGACTCTCTGCTAAAACCCTAGCTTCCCGGTATGCCCTTGAACCCTACTTGATTTCGAAGATTACCAACATGATTACCCGATTGCTCGCCACCAAACTCTACCCAGAATTCATCAAAATTCCGGTGAGTCGACGCCGATTGGTCGAAACCACGCAGGGGTTTCAGGAGCTAACTGCATTGCCTAACATTTGTGGGGCGATTGATGGAACAGCTGTGAGACTTCATAAGCTAAAGTCTGACATAATTAACCCTTCCATGTATTATTCCAGGCACGGGTTCCCATCGATTTTGCTTCAGGTTGTCGCGGATCATAAGAAAATTTTCTGGGATGTTTGTGTGAAAGCCCCCGGTGCGTTTGATGACGCTACTCATTTTAGGGATAGTTTGCTGTATAACAGGTTAATATCGGGGGACATCGTGTGGGATAAAGCGATGAACGTGAGGGGGCAGCATGTTAGGCCGTATATAGTTGGGGATTGGTGTTATCCCTTGTTGTCGTTTTTGCTTACTCCGTTTTCTGGGAATAGAACGGGGAATCCAGCGCAGAATGCCTTTGATGAGGGGATTATGAAAGCGAGGAAGATGGTGGAAGAGGCGATTGGGTTGCTCAAGGGGAGGTGGAAAATCCTTCAGGACTTGAATGTTGGTCTCAATCACGCTCCCCAGACGATTGTGGCATGTTGTGTGTTGCATAATTTGTGCCAAATTGCAAGAGAGCCGGAGCCTGATCTCTGGAAGGAGCCAGAAGAGAGTGGTTCAGCTCCGAGGGTGTTGGAGAATGAGAAGTCGTTTTATTATTACGGTGAGAGCTTGAGACAAGCCTTGGCGGATGATCTATACCAACGACTTTCTTCAAGGTGACTGGAAGAGCATCATCATTCATCCCTGTCGGCTGATGCTTTTTAGCAGCTTTCACTTGACGAAGCTTTCAAATATAAATCCCTCTTCACATGCAATCTAACTCGCCACAGCTGATCCTGACCCCTGTGTTTTTCCTTCACATCTGCTTTAATTAGATTCGGTTTGTAGCGAATTTGTAGCTGTTCGGGAGAGAAGTCGACCTGAATTTGGCCTGACACTAAATAGGTCGGATGAAGATTTGTAACTATCTGCCTTGTTCTAGTTTCTGTTTCAGTCTTTGATGTTTATTTTTGGTTATGCTAAGCTTTTTTGTTTTTCTCTATTACCGTCAAATTATGCTTACAATTTTGACCGATAAGATCTCATTATAGGATTTGAATGTTCCATGTCATATGCTTCGAGGATGCAGAGATTCGGTGACATTTGGCAGATAGATGATTGTGGTGCTACGGCGGAATGCTTTCTTTTCATTTGCTTTCGCCTCAGATCTTTTGGGGGTACCTGTTTGCTGGTGTTGGGCTGTGTTGTTTTACTTTGTGAATTGTTTTGTAATTTTATTTAAAAGCAATGCCTGTAAATGACATGATGCCCAACCAATAAAACCGTGGCCCCTTCGGCCATGCCTATGCCTTTCCAAAGTTTTTGTTTGAGCACTCTAATTCTTCTTCACTCGGCTTCAACCCGAAACGTGTTTAGGGTATTTTTTATTTCCTTGTACAGTTATTTTTTTTTTTTGGGGGGGGGGGGGGGGGGGGATATATATATATATGTATATATATAGAAGCTGGTGTAAACCATTAGATGAATATTTAGATGTTTATTCAAGATTAACTGAAAACCATTAGTTCTTTTTTGTTTATAAAAAAAAAAAAAAACCGTTCGTATTTCTATCTCAATGGCGTCGGGCAGTTGCTGGTCTTCTAGGTCATACTGAAAATTACGAAAAGTTGCAGGGTCCTCTCTCGCATGATAAGCATTTGGAAAGATCAGTGACCAGTGCTGAGTGCCACTTGATTCGAATCCGAGTCCTGACAAATTTTTTATTTATTTCCGAAAGTAAACAATCTGGTTTCCGCAATTGCAATTAATGATTTAGTTCTATCAGATTATGATGGAAAATCAACAGAGAACAAATACAACCAGATTACTTGGAAGCACAATTACGTTGTGGCTTTTACAATGATCAGACAAAAGTATGAATTTTGTTGGCTGCAGAGGTACTAACTAACTACTTCGACCCACCAAATCTTAGGTTAAAGTTGAAGATGAAGATTCAGAAAATTTATCAGTTATTACTGCTGACAGTGGAGAACTTCATGTTAAAGGAGCACAGACAGCCACGTCGACGTCGTCGTCGGCAAAGCAAATTAATTAAAGACGCAACCGAAAAAACAGTTGATGTTGCATGGGGGCGACAGAATCTTTGAATGAGTGAACAGCAAACTACTAGGAGAGCACAAAAGAAGCAACCTAACATGCGGATACGTTTGAAGGTGTTTTAATACATCAGCAGAAGAAGATGAATAATGCGCATAGATTGCTCTGCAACATGGCTATAAACAGAAACTACTGCTCTATACATGTAATTGCCTTATCATATGGTTTTTTGTCCAACAGCAGACAACTTCTTGCTTGATGTCAACTGCAAACCACTCCCACCCATCCAATCTAATTACAGTATACACATCTTGGTCCTCCTACATCTTTGATTTCTACTGAAGCAACCACCATGCCATGAATAGAGATTTCAACTATGATATCTATGTAATTTAGCTATAACATTTAGTAATCCGTGTGAAGCAATAATATTAGAGAATTGAACAATCCTTGTACCCGATAGGATCTCTGACGACTTCCAAGAAATGGCAAAACGATCAAAGTAGGCACAGCAGTCTACCATCTGGATCTGAGGTCAATCAAAAGTGAAATTGATGCCCGGTCAAGCACCCAGAGCGCAATCGGCGTGCCATAAACGCCTACAATTTACCTTGAAGACAAACTGAAGGGGCAAAAATTGCCAGTGCACCGAGCGTAGGAAACTTTTGTGCCAGAGCAGAATTCCGTTTCCAGTTTTCAAGGCACTTTTGAGTGTGTTCTGGTAGAGGGGCCGTGCAATAATTTAACAAATCCAAGGAAGCTAAGCTTCCCATCAGTGTGCCTTATCCAGTCATGAAGTACGGCATGAACTGGCACTGAAGGACCAAGTCCAAGTTCCTGAAAGCATCATTATGTGTCGTTACAAAGTGATAAACAGAGTCACAATCATTCATCAAACTACGTCCTGAATAAATCAGCATCTATTATTCCTGAACATAAAACTCCCAGAAACATTAACATATCATGACTCCCAATTTGCCATGTCAACAAAAATTAAATAAGACAGGCGATTTGTTTATTTATTGGCTCAGAGGAGGAAGAGATCTTAGAGGCACTTGACTAACCGATGCAAGTTCTTCAATGACAATAGCTCGGTTTCCTTCCTTCTCAAAGACCTCATAAGCACCACGAGCATGTTCTTCCCAGCGATCAAGTGCCTCCAACTGATGGACACTGGATGCAGCCGCACAAAACTCTTCAAAATCCATCTTTCGATATTGAAGTGCATTTAGCTGCCATTCAAATTAATTCAAACAAACAGCAGCTAGATCATCAGGAACAGTCTCACATAGAAGTTAAAAAGAAAGTCACAACTTGTCTTATTACCGAGGCAAGAAAATCAGGAACCCTGGAGTCCTCCATAGCATCTGTAGAGTTCTTCACCAATGCCTGCTTACATACAAGACATTAAAAGACAAAATCTCACCGACCATAAACAAAAGAATTCACAAAAATCTTGTGCCCCTGGAGAGGGGACATATGTTGAAGAAAAAACAAAATTAGAAAACTGCTGAATGAGTCAGGAGTCGTGGAGCAAAGGTCTCGTCACAGTTGATTCCTTCCTCTTGGGAAATTATGTACAATTATTTTTTTTTAGCAAAGTTTAATGAAGCTCATGAATATTCAAAATGGGATTAGAGCATTTGCTTAAATGTGAAAGTTGGAAATTTGATTCCACAAGCCAAAAACTACTTCATTTGGGTGGTATGAAAACAGGCAAACACTGCATAATCATGCTGAAACAACAAACCGTTTTGATGTTCTCTAATGTTATAGAGCCATTTTTGTTGGGCTCCAATAATGTAAACTGCTGCTTCAAATAGAAGAGTTCATCTGCAGTCAACGTCTTAGACAATGCCTGCAAAAGACATGTAATACGTATGATTGCAGTTTTCCAAGTTGAAGATTGTAGAACTCTTACTGTGCAATTATTCGGAGTCTCAAAGACTTTCCAAAATCCTATTACCAATCATACAACATAGAACAAATTATGCATTCTATTCAAAAGTACACAAAAGTAAAAAATAATCATATATGAAGTCCTACTTGATATCTTCAATAGTTAATAAAGCCAGAGGTTTAACACAAGACTGCAACCACACTTGGTTCTACTACACACAGCACACCTCCTTGTGCTTGCCACTATGGCTTACAGAAATTCCTCTAAACAAAACAATTTTGCACACTACCATCTTCAATCTTCAAAACAACAATGCAAGATACATAAAGCAATTTTTGCAATCAAAGTCATGTACAACTAAGTTCAAGTGAAGGTACCATAGCATCATGTTAGACACACACCCTTAAAGCAGCTTTCCGCAATGATGGTGAGCGCATGTAGGCTTTCATTAGTCTCAATACAAGAATATCAATAGGAGCTTTCACACCATTGTAATTCCGGATCCAGGGATGACCTACAACCAGAAAATTAACGATGATCAGAAGATACCAAACATAATCAAAATCAGCAGTTTCTGCAGCTGGAAATACTAACTTAGAGCCTGTGCAGCAGTCATCCGTTTACGTGGGTCTTTATTTAGTAGACGCTTAACAAAATCTTTAGCCTCTGAAGACAAGGAAGGCCATGGTGCTTCATCAAAACTTGGATCAGCTTTCAGCACTGCCCGGAAAATGCCTGACTCAGTTCGGGCCCAAAAAGGGCGACTTCCACATAAAAGAATATATGCCATTACGCCCGTACTCCACACATCAGCCTCTGTAGTATATGATCTGTGTAAAACTTCAGGTGCAACGTAATATGCACTTCCAACTATGTCATTCAGTTTTTCATCTGCAGAGGACTATAAGCACTGAATACAACATTGAAATTCAAATAGATGACAAATAGATGTTCCTAAGTAAATAAAATTCACCTGGTCTATTCCTAAGTAAAGTAAATATAATTCACCTGGTCTTACAAAATCTGATAAGCCAAAATCTATTACTTTCAATGGGGAGTTATCATCCTTCGAAGCATAGAGAAAATTCTGGCAAGAAGATAACTGAATAAGATGACCTAAAAACATTTGCATGGAGATTGTATAAACCAATCATCCAAAAACTATTATTAAAAGAAGACCAAACACAGGAAAAAGAGAAAACAAAGAAGTGCTGCATCTAAGAATCTAAATGTAAAAGGCAGCAAAAAAGCAGTATCAGTCAAATTTATAGGTGATGATAAAACTAAGCCAAACTAGAACATATAAATATGCTAAGAGGCCCTCCTAATCTAAATCTTAAGGACAAAAAAAGCCTACCTCAGGTTTAAGGTCACGGTGCACCACTCCCTGGAGATGACAGAAAGCAACAACATCTAGTATCTGTACCATGACCACCTTTGCATCATCTTCTGTGTATTTTCCACCTCTGTAAAGCATACACAAGGATAAATTGTGTAAAAATCTGAAAAGATCAGCAAACTTTGAAGCCAATTTCATCATGCTAATCAAAAATCACCGTGCAAGTATTCTGTCTAGGAGCTCTCCTCCTTGGCACAACCTGGAAATGCATTACATGCAGTCAGCATCCATTTGGAAGAGGACCCATAAAAGCTTGTCATGACCCATCCAAGCATTTAAAATTAAATATTAAGGAAAGAGGGGGGGGGGGAATGTTGCATAGTTTTTTCTGCTCTTATTACAGTGAGTAAGACCCCACTCAACCTAACATCATTTCAGAGATTTAATATACAACTTTAGTCCTTTTTGGAATGGAACTAAACATCATTCAATCTACCATCAAAGCTTGTTTAGGAACACAAGGAATTTCAGATTCTTACTCCATTGCTATATAAACATTATCTAGATCTTCAAATGCATCATAGAACTGTACAAGATTTGCATGCACTTTCAATGCCCGCAATATTTTCACCTCCCTTCTCACATCCTCAATGGCAATAGCTGTTGTCATCTGCAAAAGATGAAAAGTCAATGTGACCTTTTAGTAAACTTTAACAGGTAAACATAAAATGCACCCAAAATTTAAATCTAGTAAAATTCAAGATACAGTAAGCCACCTGTGCAACAATTAGTTCTCTGATTAAGCATCACATCATGATCATATGCAAAAAATGGAATGTCCCAGAAAAATAGCAGGAATGAGGAGTCAGTTTGAAATACATGAATAAACCACATCTCATCAAAGTGAATTTAAGAAGCAAGACAGCACTCGCAAGATACATATGCCCCTTGAAAATCCACTCTGCCAGGAGCTACAAAAATCAGAATATCCTGAAGGCAATGAATGCACAGGCAGCTGAAAATCATTGCACGGTACCCCCCCCCCCAACCACCACCACCACAAAAAAGAAAACCTTCTTTCTTGACCAAGTCCAGATACAAGGTAGTATCTAGTTAACCTTACAAAAGGCTTCAAATAAAAAATGATACCTGGCCACTATTCATTATGCTTAGTGCGAATACATCAGTTAAATTCATCTTTCAGTTTCACATACGAGATTAATTAAAAACCAGGCAGTATCTTTTTTGTCGAATTGAGTACAGATAAGCCGAAACATCACAAACCCGCAAAAAAAAAATAAAATTGTAGGAAATAGTTAAACTAACTTAACGAATTGAAGGTTGACATAAGGTTCTTAGTGTACCCAAAATGCCGTTCAGATCACCCTTCTGGGATTCGCTACAGGCTACAGAGGCAGAAAACAAGTACTTACTACTTAAAAGGAGGGTACCTTGTTCTTGGGGATGACCTTGACAGCGAACTTTTGACCCTTAAGATCACCTTTCTTGGCTACAGCAGAGCAAGTGTACCCAAAGTGCCCTCGGCCCACCTCCTTCACAATCTCATACTTGCTGGTGAACTGCTTTGAGAACCCAAAACTCTTATCCAGCTCCGCCCCGGCAGCAGCAGCATCCCCCTCCTCACCCTCCGGAATAGTCTCTGTACTTTTCCCGCCATGGCGCCTGAAAAGCACGGCCTTGATATGCTTCGCCGGCGACGGAGGGGGGAACGGGCGCTTAACTGTCCTCCTGGGAGTGGAGGTAGCACTTGGGGACGCGGAAGGCAGCGGAAGAGCCGGAGATTTCTTAGAGAAGAAGTAACGTGCAGGGCTGGGAGTGTAGAAGTTGAAAGGAGTAGACTTCTTATCAACAGCGTCGAGTGCCCGAGAATCGTCGGCAGCGGGAGTTTCGGGAAGTGGTAAAGGTTCTTCTAGGATTCGACCCGGGGTAGAATAGGGATTGCGTTTAGGAGGTTTAGAAGTGCAGGCTCCCATATCTGGCCCCCGCGCTCGCCGGAGAAGCAGAGAGGCCGAAACTTATAATGGCATTTCTATCTAAATACTAACAAGCAACCCGATGGGGGATAAATAGTAATGAAAGAAAGAAAAAGAAGAACAGGGGGGGAGGAAGGTGTGGAAAGGATTCTTTGAGATGAAGGTGGACAACGACTGAAGGAGTAGAGGAGATGGCATCAGATAGAGAAAGATGGGTTGGAGGCTGGGGGTTGAGGGAGAGGAAGTGTGGGGCTGACTGGAAAAACCTGGTGGACCCGTACGTGTGTGAGTTTATAACACTTTGCCCGCCGACCTATAGCCACAATCCTACTTCATCTCCCTACCCTAACAGATGTTAGGGATTTTTATTTATTTTTTAACCCCCACATGAAAACTTTTCTTCAACTTTGTCCTCAGTATTAATCACGCTTTGTCCCATTGTCATAAAAATGTACTCTTTGCTTTAATAATCTATCTACAATTACAAAGTTTCAATGTAATTATAATACTAAGTTTCAATGTAATTATAATACTAAGTATATACTTTGTTCCAAATATTATTGATGAAAAAATTATTTGTATATAATTTTTTTAAAAGAAATTCCCTATATATTCATTACACTGTCAACATTTACTTGCATTTTAATTCTTTAATTTTCCTTTCAAGATAGAGTTTAGCAATTTCCATGGTCAATCTTTATTCACAATGAAGTATGGATAACCTTTATGCATCGTAATGTCTTTTGCAATCCATAAAATTAAACTTAAATTTTTTGAACTTCAAAGAATAGAAAAAGAAACAAGATAGTATGTAAGAAATCAGTGAATTTGGTATGAACAAAATATTTTGGCGAAATTTTAAGCATCAAAAGATAATGATGAATTTAAATTTAAACATAAAAATGACAATTATAAATACGTTTACTATAATACTTAGAATATTTGCTCTTGAGTAAGAAAGGATATATTTTGTAATAACAAAACGCTTAATAATAGAAAAAGGCAATTTAATCGTTACATCATTTTTTATTCTTTATTTTTTATTTGGAGGAGGGGGAGAGGGAAGGGAAGGACGATGGAGTCAAATTTAGGGGGACAAAGTGTACATTCTTTTTTGTTTTCTAGTTTAAAGGGACAAAGTGTGATTACTATTGTAGTTCAAGGAAGCAAAGTGTCATTAACACTTTTGTTTTCCAGTGAGGAAATTTTTAATTCTATGCTCTACATTTAATTTAATTTATACTCTATCGCTAATGTAACGGCCAGTTATAGCGGGGGACTAGTGAACTTCACAATTGCAATTTGCAAATCTACGTACAAGGGCAATTGTTAAATATTGGCATAGTAACTGTATCTACAGAAAATTATTATTATTATTATTAGGGTCTAAAAAATAACAACCTTTTTTTTTATGCATATTGTAGGGTTTATTTATCAAATTTAATCCCAAATATTGAGATTAAAAAACACTGCTCATTTTTCATACCACGAGGCGTGGCTTGCAAAATCCCTTAGGAGTTAGCACTTAACAGGATTCACAACTTTTTGTAAAAAGTTTCCTATATGGTGGTACTGCTATCAAATTTTTTTTTTTTTGGGTGGTCTTTGATAATTAGATTTTTTTTTTTTTTTGAAGGAATTTCATAGTGAGATTGAAAGACGATATCAAGATTTGATGCAACTCTGTCTAGTAAAGTATGATTTGTCAATGTCTACAACCTTCGTAAATGTCTGAGTAGTAGCATTTTAGGATAGTCCACCCGTGGACTGGACTGCCAGTAGCCGTAATTATTAATTTATGCAAAGACAAATTGCAAACGGCATCGCCGTGCGTAAAACCTAAATGGTTTATCCCGCCCTCCATCACTAAACATACACCGAACCGACCGACGTCTACCGGTCAAAGTCGTTGATTATCTTCCCCGGACGGTGTTGGAGGGTGTGATTAACCAACTAATCAGTAGTTTTTTGCTTTTTTTTTTCGAATTTATTAGCCAGTTCGTGGTATTGTCAGGAACAGCGATATTGAATTAAGAAAAATATTAATTATCTGTACTTCATTTTTTTTTTTTGCTATTGAATTAATACAGAGTACGTATACGGTACATCATACATGTTGAGAGGGGAGACCACGTTAGGTGCATGTCTATACTTGACGTAATGACGTACGACTTCTCTGATGATGATTGATGAGGTGGCTATAACTATTAAGGGAAGGGGCAGATGAAATTATGAATTGCTTCTGATTTCCAATCACGTAATTAACGATTTGAATGCTTGTGAGCCACAAAATCATTGCTATCCAATTTAATAGCCTTTAATCATTTTTTTGTGGTTGCATTGCATTGCCTTCTCGTTGGAGCTGGCGAAAAGTCCAGACGGAGAAGGACAAAGACGTGAGGCCCATTTTTTACGTCATTAATCATTACTGCCGCTATTTTTCACCCCCAAAAAAAAAAAAACTTGTGGAACCTGAGCGACTGCTCATCACATGATCACGACACAGCAGAAGCTTTGTAGCTATCCATCAACTTCAAACCAAATAACCCCTCATGACGCATAATAAAGTTCAATTGGACGTTTCTTTATGACGAATTTTTCCATATTATGTGCAAACCCATTTGTATCTTATCTCTGTACTAAATTCAATTCATGGAAGTAGAGTAGGTAATTATAGGAGGAGTATAATTTTGTGATGACGGTTGTCGTATTTCAAAACTCACGCTTGTTAATTTGCATCCATAATTCCATATGTTAAAAGACTTTCCTCGGCTCACAATGGAACATGCAGCAGCTATCCGAAAGAGCGCGCATTCTGAATAAATTTAGTCCTGTGCAATAACCCGTCAATCACACGAAGGGTTAGATGCATTAGACAATACAAATATCTCAGAAGAGATTCGATCCTAGATTAACAAGAAAGTATGATACCAACTCTACCATTTCGATCGAGTATTTCTATTGTTGCATTGCACATACCTTGACAGGTATATTTTGGCATGTTATTTTGCTCTTGCTTTTGAAAAATGGTAGACCAAACAAATGGACACCGACGAATGCTGCTAGTATTATTATTATTATTATCCATTATGCAGTTTCTCGTGTAGATTGATTGCCGAAATTAAGTTGGCCTTTCATTTTCATTCAGTGGAACGTACTAGAGCCAGCTACATAGCTAACTAAGAAGCTCTCTACAACCGACTTTATTGTGGCCAAATGAAGCTTCCGAACAGTTCATGATCAAGTGGCGTAGCATTTTTTTTTAGGATTATTATCACTTTACCCCCTATTTTTTATAGTTATTATCAGTTTATCTCATAATATTATATTTTAGTCAATTTATCTCCAAACTAACGGTAAAAGCAAACAGCGTTATATGATTTAGATGAAATGACATACGTAGTGCAAAATAATAGTTGACGACAACAATGTCCATTTCTTCCAAAATTGCACTGGACGGAAAAAAAGACACGTTACATGTGAAAATAAAAGGTTTAGACCTACGAAATAGTTCAGATGATTTTTTTATACTTACAAACAAGTTTAGATACGTCTAGAAAAATTTCATATTATAACCTTGTACTACAAGTAGTCAAGAAATTAAGAGAAGAAACAAAAATTTAAAAAATTAAGGGATTTGTGAATGATTTAAGGAAAAAAAAGAATAAAAAAGTATGCATATCATTTTAAGAGAAAATGAATTTTTAAAAAAATCAAGACAGTTGTAAATATTACGAGCTTAAGGATATTTTCATCCTAAAAATTAGTAACAATAAAGAAAAAGTCACATGGCCACCTTTTCAGTCAACTTGCTGAGTTGGCTAATGGAAATACAGTAGGAGTAAAACTGATAATAATTATAAATGTTAGGGGATAAGGTGACAATAACCCTTGAAAAAAAAAACTATTTCACCCCTTTTGACACTCTTTTTTCTCCCTAACTGTGGATACATGATTCAAATTCTGAATGAAAAAATTCTAATAGACATTTCCTGGCCATTGGTCGACCACAGCGGTCCATGTAACATTTGTCTTTTGATTATTTTGCAAATGAATATGACCTGATTAAACGAAATTTCAGCAAAACAAAGGAAATATACTTAAGTTTTCAGAGAAATGAAACAGTAGTAACACATTTTATTTGAATATAAACAAAAAGGTATCAAATAGGAAAAGAGTAATGCATTTCCAATCATAAATCGTATCGAGTAAACGGCTCGGAAAAACTTTTACTTGTTCCATCGCGCTTCAATATGGGAAAGTCACGTCTTTATTGACGAATTAAATGAGCCCAACTCTTTTTTATTTTCATCAATTTGCTGCCATTGGCTTGAAATATCAAAAGTTCAAAACTGACCTACCACCATTAATGGCGCTCATGAAAGTTGATCAGTGCAAAATCTGGAGCTTGCCACTTCCCCACAGGCTACTGTTGGATGCGCATACGTGTAATCTAAGCAACTCAGCTGTCCGGTCCAGTCTCGTCAATCCACCGCGTGCTTCTATTGACTCGAATTTTCTCCCCTTGAAATTTGAATGATGCACTACTCTACTAATAAAAATTTTGAAATTTAATTTTTGCATTCTTTTATTTCGTGAAATCAGATATTACACATAAGATGCATTCGATAAAATTGAAGTGTGAAAACTGAAATTTGAAGTCTAAATATATTAAATTATTGAATTAATTTAGTACTAAATTTGATACATTTGAGTGTATATCAAATTAAATGTTAAGTGAATAATTCATTACTTATTTTTTAGTGCAAATTTTGACTAAAAAATTCAGTGTCATTTAATTAATTCAAACATTCTATTTTTGGTTATCAAATGCGTCTGAACATATTAAGATTTAAACACATTAAATTTAAATATCGAATTAAGTTATCAAACCACAAAGTTATTTTGTGTCTATGGTTAGACACAAAGTTATTGCGTGAAATCAGAAATTACATTTAGATTAGTACTACAAACTATACAGTTATTTTGCGGATATGGTGATTCCAGATTATAGTGGGTTCAGACTTTGCCTCCTTAATTTGCTAAAAGTGGATAGCAAGCAGGTGTTAGCAAAAACTGAAAAGGGGGAAGAAAAAAGGAAAAATGACCGGTTTCATCCCTATATTTCGTAAAAAAATTATTTTCGTCCCTCACATTTAAAACGAAACAAATTGGTCCTTCACATTTAAAAACCAAAACTTTTACATCCTAGAAATCAATTCAGTTGTGAATCAAACCATCTAACAACCCGGTTGCAAATTTTAGGAGTAGAATTGGTAGATCACTCGCAAAAATATATTTCTAACAAATAAATTAAAGAATTAAAAAATTTTAATTAAAACCCATTTGCTAATCTAAACTAACCCACTAATACATTCAACTAGTACTTAATACCACGATATCTGCCAACTGCCTAAGCAAGATATTATTATATCGGCGTACGCATTACTCCGACTGCGAACAAAGATCACTCCGCTTAGTAGACGACGAGTCAGTCAGACGAGAGATTTGAGACTTTCAATTGGAATTTCCACTTTCCACTTTCCACTTGCCAGGACGGCCTTAACTTTTCCTTCCCGGGCCGTCCATTTCTTCTAGAACCCCTTTTTTTTTTTTTTTAATTTCCGTTATTTCTTTGTGTCTTTTCCGACTTGACTGATTATTAATGACACCAAGTCTATTATTAGCGCCATTTTTAGGCAAGAAAAAGAAACAAGTACCTTTGTGCAAGAGGAGAGGCGTGGTCCCTCTTTTTATGAGTTGCTAATGCTAGCTCTTTCTTTCTTCTGTTTTTTCTTTTCTTTTCTTTTTTTCGGGGGTGTGACAGTGTATCGCCCTGACGCTAACGTTGCATCCAGTTTCTTCTAGAAATCAACATGGATAAGCAGAGTAAATAATACTCCTACAACGTTTTTACTTTACCCTTTCCCACCCCCTCCAATCCCACCCCACCCCAAAAAGAAAAAAAAAAAGAAAGAAAGAAAGAAAACAAACCATTAACTCCCCTTGGCCACAAGTAGTGGTTAGGGGTATCTTTAATGATAATGACGGTGGGATTGGAGTTTTCTCAAAATGAGGGAACACAGCCGACCTTGGATTCTTTCAGATGCTTATAATTTAAGCGTAATCATAACTGCATCATCTCATCATCTCTAGAGGCTGAAATAGTGAACAACAATATAGCGCCCCCCCCCCCCCCCGGCTCCTTTTTTTTTTTTTTTTTCTCTCTTTTCAAAAAGTATATACTAACTTTTGTCCTAGCTGAAGATTAATGCATTATGTAAATGTTTTCCAAGAAATATGAGAAACGTTTCAAGTGTGATATTTACGAGGAATATTGCGGATTTGCTTATTGTTGACTTCCATGCATATTCCCTTTCCAGATTTATACATTTCTAGAACTGCAGCCTCACTCTCGGTGATATATTTTCCAATTTTGTGTGTAAATGAAGCTATATCATATGGTAGTAGGTGAAAGATTTTCAATATGCAGTAAGTTGGTAAAAATATCAATCAAAAAGATTTTCAATATGCAGTAAGTTGGTAAAAATATCAATCAACCACGCATAAGGTTCTTGATTTGACTCTGAAACCTTCCTTAGTTCCATTCGAATGGGAATTTGGAGAAAGAAAGAAAAAAAAAAAAAAAAAAGGGATCTCTGCGTGGAAAGGATACAGATATACGGGCTGACGTAATTGTATGCCCCATAAACGGTTCCAGATCAGTTAAAAAAGCCTTGGGCCAACTCTTGTATTAATCTCCTCCCCTTTATCTCTCCTAATGCACAGCACCGTTATGTCAAAATGTGTGATTTATTTGAGCCCAATGAAGATACAAATATCCACGAAGCCCACTGGGGATGCACACCTGGTTTTGGGCCTATGATGGATTCTTGTAAACCAAGTCCACGTATAAAAAAAAGTATTCTGCTTGGTCCTTTGCTACAAGAAAGGGGGAGGGACAGGGACGCTCATCCATAGCCCTCTTCTGGGCTTATGATGACAACAGAAGGGCTTCACCTCGTAAAGAAATTCATCCAACTTCAAGAAGACGCAATCCAACCAGCTCCAAAGCAGTCAGGCAAGGATGAAGGATGCCCCTTACAGCGGAATTAGTAATAATTTTGCCAAAACGCATGCTACGCAGTATATAGTTTCCATCAAGCAATTTCTAGACAGCAGAGCTCAAAAAGATGCCTTTACTTCGTCAGATAAAAGATCCCAACTTCAGTTAATGTCTCAAGTTCATCTAAATTCCGAACTACACCAACCAGGCTTTTGCTACAGAACATCATAAAAACTGGACTCTTCAGTTTAGCTGAATTTTATACTTTTGCTGAACCAGCTTCAACCGAGCCTCCTAGTCCCCCTCTCCCACACAAGCCATGCAGAGCAACACAATTGTGCAGCACTCAGCAATTTTTTCGTGCGCAGAAGGCAGTTAGTGAATTTTCATGCCATTATCAGTGCTACAGGGGGATCAGAAATCATAAGCTCAATCATGATTTTCCCCCACTCACTGTCCAAGATAAACATTTGGATCTTCCTCATCAGAATCAAACTCAACCTGCAAGCAAACACCTGTTGCAGTCAAGGTGATGACTAGTGCAGAAGTATAGCTGATTGATCCTTCACAAAATCAATAATAGAGAGAGAGAGAGAGAGAGAGAGATTCCTAACAAAAAATAAAATTTGAGCTTTAGTCACAATCCAGGAGCAGTTACGAAAAATGTGCATAATACCGCTATCTATCAAAGGAAACTCACATTTTCATCCTTGAACCACCGGCCATGGGCATCACGCTTCCACCCAGCTGAAATCAGCTTAAGCTCCCTCTCACGACGATTTTTATAATCCAATTGCTGCTGGAAGGCCACTTCAGGAGCTGCTACGACTTCGGTGGCATTGCTCTTTGCAATAGATTGATTTTCTTTTTTATAGTAGCAGATATCTGATCGGACATCTGGACTTTTATCCATTGTGCTGCACTGAGGAGATTCTCCAGCAAGTATCTCAGAAGCAGCTTTGTGGACCTGCTCAATTAAAGGCGTCTTTGTGGATCCACATCTTACTTCAGAACTAGTGCTGGAAACAGCAGTACTAGAGGAATCTGCCAATGCAATCCTCTTATTTATCTGATATTGTCTCGATAATTCTCTTTCCTTCTGTTCGGACTCTGCAGCTCGATGGCGTGACCCCTTCACATGCATCTGCTAAAACAAACTTTTAACAATTAGCAACCGAACTTGGGATAGCAAACAATCTCAATTCTAGCTCCAGTCCAGAAATGATGAAGAAACAACATAGCAATGCAGAAGGCCTCATTTGCATTGCATGCATGTGAAGGTGTACTGGTGCGTTCTAATATCTAATTCGACCCTGGACAAAATGCATGAAAATCGTTTACTCTCCTTCTTCGTCATAAAGTATCGTTTCTGCCTTGTACAACCATGTTAGCTCACATCCAATCGTCATTTTTTCCTCCCTCTTATTTCCCTCTACTTCGGTTCCCTCGAGTCTCCAGAAACCAAGACCATCACCACCTGCCCCAGGACTTGCTGGTGTCATTTTTTGTGATCTTTTAATCAAACCATATCCGGTTGATGCTTAGGGTCTGCTCTCAACCAATTCTGATTTTTGAAAAGCCAAAGTGATGGTCCAAAAAGCAGGTATCTTGTAGATTGTGATTTTAGCTCTAAAAAAAAAGGAAAAATCTAAAATCTAGAAGCTAAAAGCAGGTCTGATTCTTGTAATTAGCACTATAAGTCTCAAGAATCATACTAGCGGGCAGATTAATAGTATTCTGTCGTGCTCTCTCGAGTTGTAAGTTGTGTAAGTCCTTCCTCTACAGTAAGAGAAATGAATAAGAAAACAAAAGGCATGAGAATATTTTGAAGGCTCTACTTCTAACCCTTTATGCTGCATAAGAATGAGAATCAATTCAAGTCTCGATCAGTGGCACGGAAGTATGGTGAACGGTGGGAAGGAGTCGATTTCTCAGAAATCTACTTACTTACAACAATATATATATTCTAAATAAATCCTAATTCCAAAAAAAAAAAAAAAAGGGAACGAAAACACAAGATTAGTGGAGAAAGGAGATAACCCTGAAAAAATGGAGGGACTTACGGAAAGCATTAAAGGGGTGTCAAGGACGGGATGGTGGGGGCAGAGCAGGCAAACCAACTTGCCGTTGGGGAGCTTCTTATAACCACACCCATCAATTCCTTCGATTATCAGATCATCCACTCTTCGCTTCCTGTACTGAGCCTCCCGACCCCAACTGTCTCCTCCAAACACACTCATCGCTTCCTCCCGCTCTCTTTCTTGATAAAAATTGCTTGTTCGCTGCAATTCTCAACCTTTTTTATGAGTTTCCCGGCGGAGCAGCGCTGCCATTTCCCGTTTAGCTGCGGAAAGTCGTTCCTGTCTGTCTCCATCTCTGGAAGAAGAGCGGCGTCGTTTTGTTTGTTTTTTTGACTCCAGATTCGGGTCGGTGTGGGTGACTCCGATTGTTCAATTGGATCGTACTGAGGGAATTTTTATTTATTTATTTATTTTTGTTCTTTGCTGGGGAAATGTTCAATTTGCCCAATTTACCACTTGTAATTCACATCGTTCCTCACTTCCCACTCATATTTTTGATGCACAATAATCTTCTATTTAAGTTAACCCAAATGGGAACTTCCAAAAAAAAAAAAAAAACCCAATGGGTCTGTCGTGGGCGATTAGCATGATAGCCTCTCGTACTTTTTTCGTTAAAATTACACATTCACTCAACTGATACAAATACAAATTTCTAACACCCAACTAATTAATAAAAGTGTACATTTTTGGTTAGTGAATTAAGTAAAAAAACATTTTTTGTCCAAAAAAAAATGCGGTGCTAATCTATTGTATACTGATAGTGTATGAACGTGTGAATTGAATGCATGTCACATAATTTCAATGAATTCAAAATTTTGATGCATGTAATGCTCTTAGTATATGCACCGTTGACGTTGGAAAAGATTAGTCTAAGCATGCATGTTATAATTAGTTAAATGATTATTATGGCTAAAAGAAGAATTTTTGCAATTCAGCACTTAGTTTTGACGTGTAAACCATGATTAGAGAGAACATATCATTCGAATATGAAGAAAATAGGAAGTTGCAAAAGAATAAAAATAAAAATAAAAAGGTTCATCTAAATTGGCTTTTTTTTTTTTCCATACTTTGTTATTGGATATTAATCATGGGAACATTGTGGCAATAGCCGATCGGCTTACAGAAGAAAACATCATCATAAATGTATAAACCCACACAAAAAAAAGAAAGAAGAAAAACTCTCGTTATTTGCTGGAATTGATCAATTGGAACATTTTAATTTTGAAAATAAAATCACACTAATATTCGTTTTTTTTTTTGCCCTTTCCCAAAACGGAGCCGTCATGTACTGAATAATTTCAGTTCCAATGTATGAGTGGCATGACGGGAAATTTCATAGTCCCATTGCTGCAGTGAAAGCCGCCCCGTTCGCCGCAGGCAAAATAGTAAGGCTGCCACCACCTCAGCACGAACTCAAATCCTTCCCCGCCGCCTTGGTTCACATCTGCTATCTTCCATGCCCACCGCAGGTCGCATGTCAAGAAGCTCCGGTAGCTTGGCAATAGATACACGCTATGGGGAAATGGGGTAGAGTTATACTTGAACACTGCACCCAAAGGAATTAAGAATAAGAACCTTGAACATACTGGTGCTTCACATTCAAAAGATATATATATATCACGTATCACACCATGCATTTGTATATTTTTCTTGGCCCTTCATCAACGTACGTAATTAGGAAGCTAGCTCCATGCATCAATGAAGCAGGGAGAGGAAATGATTGATGAAACAACGCAATAAGTACGTACCTAGGGTGTCACCAAGATAGAAGGGACCGTTTTTGAGAGCCCAGTCGGTGTAGTTAAACCCGAAGTGCCAGTGTTCAGAACCACCGACTTCCACCCTCCTTGGTTGGCTTCCATTGGGGTGTCTGTGCCAACCGTAATTCCAGTTGGTATCCTGCTTGTTACCCAGAGTACCAACGCCCAATATGGACATTATAACCACAACTAGAACACCTGCTTTTCCATGAAATACTAGAGAAGCCATATTGATTTTTCTGCTCTGGAAAAATGGCAGATTATGAGCAGTTAGTTAGCTATCAAGTTTTGGTAATTGCGATGGGATATTTACCAATCAAAAAATGATGGGCATTTTATAGGCGGCAAACATACGCTTGCTACTTTGCTGTAGCAGTTAATTTGAACAAGTCAGACCTTTCGTCCAGTTGGGTAGGTCGGATGCAGAAATTATGAATAACGGACGAGTCTCGTGTGTTTTTCCAATCCCGAATATTTTTTATTTCTTCTCCAGCTTTTCAAAGTCCGCCACTTTGTGGTGAGATGAGAATCTTAATTTAATCCGCATGCAGTTTCTTTCCAGAATTTACCTGTTTTCCACTTTTTAACGTGTATGTATATGTATGTGTGTGTGTAGTTTTTCATCGCTTGAAAACATCTGATGTGTGTACGTATATGATTATATCACCGCGCATCTAAGTATTCACTATTTCCTCCCTGTCCTGTATGTGAGAAAACTTATTACTATATATTCTCCCTTAAAAAAAAAATTGCATCTATTCCTACGCTAAGTCAGTTTACTCCCTAATTGCACAACGAATAGCATTTTCTAAACAAACTAGCTAGAGATAACCAACCCCCATAACCCCCCCCCCCCCCCCTCAAAAAAAAGATTGGAAAGCAATTTTTCTTTTCGCTACGTTTTTCGTAAACACATTTTTCAATCATCTTTTTACTTCATATATATCAAATCGCTACAGTAATTATTTTACAAAAAATTTAGAAAAACACAATCCAAAACAAGCCATGTTTTTCAATGCGAATCGAGTATTCCGATGTGTATTGGAGATTTACATGCTTTTGCTAGCCATTCTAGTAGTTATCAAATATAGTGCACGATAAATATGCATGGTCTAAGAAACCATTATGTATCTTTATTACAGTGTGAATACAATGGGTGGGTGGTAAACTTCCACAGCCAACATGATTATTCAAAATTCGATACAAAGGGAGTAATCTTTGCGTACGCTAGTAGTAGTATTTCATAATAAGGATGCATAAACCTACGCATCGCAGCATTCACATTAGACTGGGTTCACTTTAAGAGTTTCTGTCAGGAAAAATGTAAAAGAAAACAATAAATGATGTATTCTATATTGTGGTGGTACATACATAATACATAAACGTAGTAATTTTTTTTAATGAATGAAGCAAACTCAGGCGAGGAAAAGGAGCATCCAGAAGAGCTGGGTATATTATACATGGTCGTCAAAATTGGCTCAGGAGTCCAATTGCGCGGCCAGAAAAACTTTTAGGCAGTAATCTTTTTCTTCGGTAAGGTTAAGTACTTAATAAGACTCGTGGGGTTGACCAAATTAAACTGAAAGGAGGTTGCAATTCATGTGTGGATTCAATAAAAAGGCATGATGGGTTTCTTACAATTAAGCATATGGTAGTACTATCCATGAGGAAACCAAAGGTCAAGAAAATGCAGAAAAAGCCATCATTGCCAAAACGAAAACGAGTTGCTCGGTATTGCGTTTCTAACTTAAAAATCTTGACACTTGACCCGGGGGGAAGGTGGTGGTGAAGAAAGCATTTAGATTGTCATAAATCATAAACAGTAGGATGTTGATGCACTGATTACCGTATAATGACGTCTTATTTTTTGCAACATCTGGAAACGAGAGAATGAAGATGTTTCTTCCCTCCCCTTTTAGTTCATCCCGGTCACTTTTTTTTTATTTGTTAAAAAAAAAGAAAAAAAATTTACTACCCATTTGGATTGCTAGTTTTAAGAGTTTTTAAGGAAAAATATACTGATTTGATTTGATATATGTGAATTAAAAAAATAATCAGAAAATATGTTTATGAAAAATATAAAAAATTTTCTGTAAAAAAAACACAATTCAAACAAGGCTGCCATTTAGATTAGGCCCGAAGCCCAAAATGCCATCAGGACTGAGCTTTGAACTCAATGTTGTTAACTTAGGTGGCCCAGGTCTGGACCCCAGCCTGAATTTAATATGTATGGGTACTCAAGGTGATCCACACAATACAAGTTTATGTTCGAGTTTTGCCAAGTTGAATACTCTAAATTTTTTTTTTTAAAATTGCGTTTGATACAATTGAAATCTAAAATCTAAATCCATTAAGTTATTGAATTGTTAAATATTAAATAAAATACATGTGAATGTATATTACATTTACTGATAAGTGAATAGTTTATCACTTATTTTTGTGAGCAAGTTTTGTCTTAGACATTTAATTCCACTTAATTAATTCAGATGTTCAATTTTTTATTATCAAACTCGTCTGAATATATTAAAATATGAATCTATTAAATTTAAGTGCTGAATTGAATTATCAAACAGGTTCTGAGTGTTTAATTCTCCCATTTCTCTGTATCTCTCTTTCTTGTTTTTTTTCTCTAGTCAAATCTCCCAAACAAAAAGGAAGAATGATCCATTTCCCATCTTTTGTTTTCTTTTCTCTCCATTTGCTTCCATTTAAGCTCACTTTGAAGTTTCTGACTGCGTCAGAAAATGTTTTATCATTTACAAATAACGAAAACCAATCACAGGGCCAAGCCCAAAAAAATTGTCATTTAACGAACAGGAAGCCCAGTACTTGTCCCACCCCAACCCAAAAAGCCCCACTGCTTCTACCTGGATCTCAAGTTCCACCCCAAAAAAAAAAAGATGGAAATGTTTGAAAACGTCTCTCTTTCTCCTCCCGTAATGCTTCATTTCAGTTGTCACTCCGCTCAAGCTTCACAGATCGTCTGGGGGAGACGACGACGACGAAGCCGGCGACGGCCACATTCAGGAGAGAAGTGAGACATGGCCCCACAGAAGGCAGTCCGTACAATATCCCAGGAAGCATTCGACGAAATGGTGAAGGAGAATATAGAGGACCTTGGGATGGACCCCACCGAAGCCCTTGAAGACGCCGTTCAAACGCTTTCGCTCCAGGGTGTTGATCTCTCAGGTAATTTCCATCATATGTTTTTGAACTTTTTTCTTTTGTTCCCTCCAGCTTTTTTTTTTTCCAAGCTAATCCCACCTCGCTTGTGTCCTTTCCAGGTATAGTCCAATGCGTCCCCGGAGAGAGCTCAGTCGATGACAATCCGGTAGTTCAGGCTCTAAGCAGATTGAAAGGGCTGAGCTCCGATTCGTCCGATAGCGAAAACGAAATTATGGAATTGTTGGGAAACTTGAATGAGTTGTGTAGCTCAAAAGGGTCGGGAAATGCTGCCATTGCCACCAAGAATGGAGGGGTAGAGTTGGTAATTTCTATTTTGCCGAAGCTTAAGAAGAGCGGGCCTCATCGG